TCTATACGAATGCCTTGTTAAGTTGGGCACTACCAAAGAAAAGCGACTTATGATTGACATCATGGCATTGCGTCAGTCTTATGAACGACGAGAAATAACAGAAATACGTTGGATTTATGGAGATGACAACCCAGCTGATGCAATGACAAAATCTACACCAAACAAAGCCCTTGAGCGCTTTATCGACAGTAACCAATTGACAGTTCGTATGGAAGGATTTGTAGAACGATCCGTATCTGGGAAGTAGATTGCGAGAGTTGTTCAGGTTGTTGCTATGGGAAGGGTGAAATTACAACCAATCTGCTGGATCTTGGCAACAGATAACTTGTGTCAAAAAAAAAAGAAAATTTGCCAGTGTTGTAATATTAATGAGGAATCCTCAAAGCCGAAGTAGGTTTGTGGTCACCTGGCAGGTATGGGAGTTTGTTTTGTGAGTAGGCAGTAGTCACATGACTTAGTGCGGTTCGCCGTGTCGCCCATATGGAAGACACGCCCGCAAGTGAGTAGAACAAGAACCACCACATCAGAGAGAACCCCATTGCTTACGCATACACGTGTATATAACCAACCGACAATTTTGATATTTTGATATGTTGAACTAAGTTACCGAAATATTACTGTCGGAATATTTCCTATGGATTCTTTGTTTGAGGTAACCCAATAATTGTTTTATTCATTCGTATCTATCTTCGTCTGCGACGGAGCGCCAGGGCCTCAGTGACCGTGAACACTCATCACATGATATATGCTTACATAGCTATTACTAACAATTACCCATTTGTTGTTTCATCATCATATTCATTCTTACCACCCGAACTCCAGCATCCTTGCTGTATGCGCATCCAATTAAAACTTGCGTCCTATTATTCGACAATTATATATTATTAATTGACATTTAGAAGAGAGTTCGATATCCTATACAACTATCAGTAAAGTCTTGTCGGAAATTGTACACTTGTTCTTCGAGATATTTCCTCCTGGAAACCCTTGACAATTTCTAACAGTTTGTTTAACTTTAGTGCCGCAGATCGATTATTATGTAGCAACTTTGTCAAAAAAATTGACAGTTTAGAATGTACTGGGTCTAGGAATGAGAATCAATAGGTTTGGGGATAACATATCCTCTCGGATTAACTCACTTGAGCTTTAATATCTCACCAGGGACATGATGATCAAAATGTTTGGGATGGTCAGAATGTTACGGCGAGATTCCTGAAGGGTAGAACTCGTCGTCTTCAAAGTTGATAAGTGAGGAACGAGGTTCACGATGGAGATTGGAAACTTATGGGGAAGTAGAATTTGATAATGAGTGTGGCAACAAGATACCTAAGAAGACTATAATCGAGGAAAAAGGGAGTGATACAAATTGCGAAGCTGAAGGTCTGGATAAGCCATTTCTTCCGCTTCTTATTATCAGAGAATCCCTCAATACAATCTCCGGCTCGTCCATGAACTGTCTCACGCATGAAGGTATCTGGATTAGATTGTCAATCTCCTCAGATAATTAATCTGGGAAATAGTATGCGGGCGATTCCTAGATCCTTAGATCTCATTCATTCCCGAGAGCCTATATTAATTATCAATTCAAGGATACTTTTCATTACGCATAAGATTACTACTTTCCGCACGCCGGTCTTGGAGATGGTGTTGTAATTAATCTCTGTTGCTTGTATTGGGTAGTTGGATGACTCGTTAAGGGTGTCTGGGGTTTCTTGTGCACGTTGGTAAGAATAAAATGATAAATGTTGACTGCGAAATTCACGGAAGTCTCGTGGCTCCGACTACGACAATCTATATGTGTGTAGAGCTTGAGACTAGGTATAAACTTGTATTTCTATTAACGTTCTAACTCCTCCTTAAATACATGAATTCCTCTATACTCCAGATAATGTAACGATCAATGATACATGACAAGTAAACTATCAGAATACAGTAGGAGAGGAGTGAGGTGCTTAGCCGCCCGAATTGTGACCGAAGAATGCGAGGGGTGCATTCTTGATGGAACCTCAAACTCGCCGGCTCGCTTGTCGTGAGACTTGGCGTTACGCTCGGACTTGGAATTCAGGATCCTCATGTCTGCCTCAGGATAAATTATTCAGGCCATAACACAGGATATTCAAAGCTCCAATTTGAGATTTTTTGATCCCCTACACATGTAATTTAGCTCATATGTAATTCTGGGAAACGAGAAGATATTCTCTTCTAGAAATAGTTTTAGATCGGTGTATAGCACCAAGGCCGGAGAGGGGTAGAGGACGAGAGATTTCATCAATATACTTTTACTTTGCATTTTTTATTTGACCCTCAGTGTCCAACAAACTTAGTTACAAAGAGTATAGTCTCAGCTCATGACAAAGCCTACGGTTTTGCGATGCTCATCTAGTATGCCAACCTCTACCTTCACGCGATGCTTACTACTCGGTCTGAAACTCCCTATCTCGACACAATTTGTAATTATCTTTGGCTGCCTATCAGAAGCATACTTCGACTATTCATAAATTTACTAGAACATCTAGAACTAGTATGGCACGTAATTATCGCCTCACTAATCGTTACAAATCCAAGTCTCACTCTCGCTTTAACCGTCTAGATGCAAACTTATCTTGCAACTGCGGCCTATCGAAGGCGCCTGAATATTTCTTGAAATATACTATGCCCAGCGGGTATCTTCCCCAGTTACAGATTCTTTTAGCAATCCGATAGATCTTTTAGGCTTCTAGGAGGTGGTAATGAGTATTGTCAAATGATTTGATGAGGCAGGATTCTACTCAACAATCTGCCCTAGAAATTCAGGTTGAATAACTCTAGGCAACAATTCTTGCTGCTCTCACGCTACACGTGGCAGTCTGTCTGTAGGAAAGGAGTAGGGTCTAGGACTCAGGCCCCTGAGGGAAAAGACGTACCACGTAATGTTGTCTGTATAGCGTGGATGCGACATCAGGCGTTGCTTTATGTGTATATTAAGGGCTCTGCATCTCTGGTCAGGGAGTAGCGAGGGCGAGGCTTCTAGGGCAGTAAGCACTGGCGTCTATGTCTAGTATGAAGTAGGTATTGAACGGCTATGCTTAGCTGGAATGACGTACCGTTAGGATGAAGTTGTGCAAGGAGGTAGCTATGGCTTTAAGAGAAGTGAAGTTCGTGAGTTATACTCTTAGGACTTGGATCAATGGACGGACTTGAGGATATTCCTTAGTATTCCCAAGTGTGTGAATAATATGGAGATTGTTTAAATTTCCTATTGTATGGATTGCTTAAGTTATCTATGTGACAGGACCTTCCTCTATATACATGAATAAGGGGGTTCTGCACACTAATGCATGTTCCAACATATGTCCTTGTCTAACCGAGAAAGGAAGGATGTGAGAGATCCTAGCGTCAATAGATACCATTAGGAATCTATTGGGAAATACTATGTCATACCATTGAACGATGATTTAGGTCAATCATATCTCATGGCGCTTGTGCACATTATTCTAATGTGAACAGTTTATTGTAATGCAGTCATGTTACTCCCTTAATTACAACAGTAGGCAGCAGAGACCTAAGTCTCGGCCTGGCGTCCCACTGGACGTTAAGTAATAAAACTGTCGATTGGCCTTAATTTGCGGTTACTTAAAATTAGTTCGATGCAAAATGAAAGGCACAAAAGTGAGTAATGTATCATGTCTTCTTGTCTCTTTCTAAGAACATTATGAACGTAGAGTTTGTTGTGTTAGCTGAGTCATCAAGACAATGACTCAATAGCGGAGAGGTGCTACGTACTTAGTGCACACCTAGTAGAAATACTTTCCAACAAAAACAAAAATATATCCAAATATAGAGCTACCCTGATTAAAGGTTTGGAGGTCAGCTAGTTTGGAACGGTAGAGTCGTATGTAAGTATAGGAGCCACTAGTTGCTTTAATAACTTTTTTTTTGTACCTTCATTCACTCGTGTCTCACTGTAAATCGGAAGGCGTGATAATATTTCGTAAAGTCTTGACAGAGGGTGTTCGATAAAAAATAGCTCGACCAACATCTTTATGTTGTCCTAAGTTCTGGGAAATGTCGTAGTGTCATCGAAAGTAGAAGTGTTCCTAGTTAGCGTTTGAATCAATTCTGACTCTGCAGGCTATATTGTGAGAGCTGGAGCAATAAGTGACACTACTGATGGGTGTTATCTCCTCATCCCTCGCTGCGAATATTTAAAATGTCTGCATATCTCATCTTGAATAACTTAATATATATTGATTTATTCAATTATTTTACGTGATCTCTGCCAGCCCTCAAGAGATTATAGTCGAGAACTGATGATGTTAACTTTCCTATAACCTTCAACCTATAATTTTACCTTTGTTATACGGGAGATAAGGGCTTGACGACTAGTGTAGCTTTTTTCGCAGAGTATAGCTTGTACTCAAGAGTCACTAAGCACTCATAGTCACAGATCACTAATCAATAAGCGACTAATTCATTCTTCTGTAATTCAAGTCTCTTGATACAGTATCGACATAATATGCAGGAGCTCTAGGCGTAACGAGCTAAAATTGTAGCAAATAACCCAATGAAAGAATTCCGCTGTTAATGATTGATAATAAAAAACAGGATTCAACGCGTTCCAGGATCAGTCAATCTAATAGTTTGGGATTAGCTTTTTGATTTTAATTTCAAATTCCCGTTGATTTGGGTAGTTCGTAATATGATAGTTCTGTTGTGTTCTATTTCGATGCTTGCTTACTTATATTCCGACATGAAGTATATAAGTATAAAACATACTTTTATCTCCGCTATCGACGAGAGAATTCAATAGTATAATTTCTGTCGAAAGTGAATCTATTGGTTCATAAGATTATCGATAAATATGGTAAATAACTGGATCTTTTATTCCATTTCCTAGTGGTTGATTACATCAATGCGACACAAAAATTCGTCCACTTGTTATAGTCTCGAGTTGATAGAGAGATTTCGACACTACATAACTGGTATCAGATCATAACCGAGTCTCACTGGTTTTCGTAGATTTATTTTTCTACCAGAAGACCAATCTCTTCTTCTATCCGTCTGACGACTTCGTTAAGTGCCACATATGCAGGGCTATCTGGCCAAGCATCAAAAAAGCTTTCACCATAATCGCAAGACATGCCAATACGTGGGTCGAGAGGTACGGCACCCAGGAACGGGATATTCATTTCTAGAGCTAGATGGCGCGCTCCACCAGTCGTAGCTTGAAATATTTCGCTCTGATGCGCGCATTTGGGACAAACAAATCCGGACATATTCTCGACTATCCCCAAAACTCTAATCCCTGCTTTTTTGCAAAAATCAATTTCCTTACGCACATCTAGAAGTGAGACCTCTTGTGGTGTTGTCACTAGAATGGCTCCGTCGATTCCACTCTCTTTTAAAAAAGAATTGACACTAAGATGCTCATCACTTGTTCCGGGTGGAGTATCTACCAATAAGAAATCAAGAGCCCCCCATTCAACATCTTTCAAAAACTGTTTGATTAGACCGTTTTTCTTAGGGCCTCTCCAGATAATTGCATCATCTTTGCTCGGCAACATAAACTGTATACTCATTACAGCCAGGTTATCAGAGACCCAAACAGGGCTCCATCCCGCCCCACTCACGTGTATTTTTTCCTCTTCCACGCCTAGCATTTTTGGGATACTTGGACCACAAATATCTGTATCCATAACACCTACCAGACTATCGGGGTTGCATGCAAATGCATGAGCAAGTAACGTAGTAAAGGTGCTTTTACCAACTCCGCCTTTCCCGGATAGGATGAGAATCTTATGTTTAATTTCAGATAGTCGAGCGGTTATCACTGATATGTCTGGATCAGGTCCTTTGGGAGCAGATGCGCAAATTTTCTGATTGGGACAGCCCGCACAAGAGTCAGCTTTGCCCGCTGTCTCTGACTCTGGGCCCGGACAGTGTTCTGGCTCAGGCGCGACGAGCTGAGGAGCCATTTTAAGTGCCTTGTTAAGGGTACATTGATCTGAGCCTGGTACATCAAGTGAAGGAGCCATTATGACGCTCAAGTTGGGGAAATAAGTTGGCCCGAACGATGTCAAATCTAAGAGATGAAGCCAAAGTTTCTGGTTAGTCGGTTTTCAAAGATTTTATAGAATACGTATTGTCGGACGATCAATGTAGAGTTATTTATCGACAGGAAAAAAGGAGGGTAGCATTTACGGCCTTTCATACATAGCAGGGATTGAAATTTTGCTGGCATCTTATTACATCCGCCTTGCGTTAGTGCCAGTCAACCCTATGCCTTAGGCCAGAATCCTCTTTATTTGCCTATCAACCTAAGATTAAAGGCAACGTGAAGCGGACACCAAGGACTCTTTAATCACCCAATTAAAATTTACGAATTGCCGAACTCTGGCTCTTCGTGTCTAGCCTTTCAAGTTGTCTGAAATCAAAAATATTGATTTCATTATCCTGATTTTGCGCCCTATAGGCCCATGCAGGTGTCTACAAGCTGTAATATTTATACGGGCGGAAGATTCTATTGTAAATTCACGGATGAGGGTTGACTTGGGGTGAAGAAAAAGCCGCCATAACTTCGCAGTGGTACTTGCAAATGAAATCCGAGGCATGAGTGCTCTTCCTTTACGTTGAATCATCTATTCTGTACTTTTCTTTGATATTGTTTCATAGCTAGATAGCTGCATACGCAATTAAAATCTGATGCAAAAAAAAAATTCTATGGTAAAGACCCTCAAACCTTTCTGTTTATAGACTTGAGATTTCACATATGTTCTTCAGGAAGCACAGTTATACTATTGTGCCATCTATGTAAGTTAGAAACAAGATCTTTACCGACTCTAAGAATTGTTCACCATGTTTCTTTCGCTCAGCAGCATTTCGACCGTCTTTGTCATTTGGAATCGCTCTATCCAGCCATGATTTAGGATCCAATCTGTAATTCTTTTGATGTCCCTTGGGTTGTTTATCATGGCTTCGTGTGATCTCTGTCGAGCCATACAGTAAGGACTTAAATTTAATTCTATTCTGTGGAGCCATTCTCCAGATCTTCGCTCCACAATTTGACTATCGGGGGCAGGACATAGTCATGTGCCTGGGGTTCTGTGATTCGTAGCCACATGGACAGCCTGGACTTAATAATTTGGGGAAATTTCTTATGTGTAAATACGAGTTGAGCCCCATGTGCTCACTGCGAGTTTGCATTACCAAACTGCTTTGGGCCCTTAGTCAACTATATTTAATCGGGGGACTTTTCTCAACACCTGTCAGTGGTGTCCCCTACGAACCTCCAGCTCTCACTGTAGATTCTGCAGAGCCGAGATTGAGTTATCCCCCCCTCCGTCAAAGATATGCTTCCGATAACTCAAAAGACGACCAAGACGACGATAATGATGCTGGGAATGAGGAAAGATAATGCAGTACCAAACGCTACAATAGTAGTCAGAGAAGCCCTCGTTATATCACAACATGTGCTACCCACCGGTGGGCGAATAAAAAGCCCACGAAAGCAAAATAAAAGACCCTTCCGCCTTCGAGAAAATCAGATTTCGACTCGTCAATTATATCATCCCTTACAACCTTTAATTTCGAATCTACTAGCTATGAGGGTATCTAAAATACATGAGTTACTCGACAATCCTACGTCCGTCACGACTTTTTGATGTTAGGCTAGGCTCCTTCACGGCAGTCGCTCTCTACCAAGACTGTTTTGACTACCTTTCACGACCTTTGGTTTGTTCTGCGGCATGACCCAGGGGAGGAGTAAGGAGGAGGCTAGGATGGTTGAGAGACGCTCTTAGGTTTACACAGCTCTGCTGCGCCCGGCTAGCCGGCCTCTTCGTCATAGGAGAGCCCCGCACCCAGCGGTTCTTGAGACTTTTCTCTGCAGCCACACGCCCTCAAATGGCCATCGTTTCTCCGGCTGGAGAGGGGAGATAATGACGGGATAACAGCTCCTCTTAATGTGTACTCGAATGAAGACCTGTGGAGGTATTATTGCTGGAAAGAAGTCGTGAATGAGGCATAAGAAGGGGTACACTAGCCCTACAAAAGGGCTTCGATTTCATACACTCCGTCACTTGTATATAGTCTGTGTAACATCAGTGTTGTACTACGGCTTAATACTTTGGCAGGGAAGAAGAGATTCAGGCATACTAACTAATAAGTCTCAGAGGCTTCAGAACCAAGCAATTATACTAATCACTGATGCCTATCAGCGCAACCCAATCAAGACCCTCGAAATGGAAGCAGCCATTCTGCCAACCAAAGTCAGACTAATGAAGCATGCCTTTAACTATGCTCTTCGACTATTACGGCTTCAGAATACACATCCTGTACGACAGCTGTTATTGCAGGCATTGAAGGATGACATGAACACACGTCCAGAAATAGACCTCGGAAATTTTGATCAGTTTGATAAGCTAACAAATCAACTAACTAGAATTGGGAGCTATCTCAGATTATTCGCCAAGTATCAGAAGCTAGAACAAATAAATTCAGCATGAATGGCATCATGGGACTCACCACATCTAGTCATAAACATGTCATCCCTGACCAAGACTTCAGCTCATGAGCAACATTTGAAAGACATGCAGATCTTAGATTCGGAAACAGCCATTGCTTACATAGATGGATCTCTTACCAAGAGTAATGTGAGCAGGATTGGCTTTTAATTTATATGCCTTTCACTAGAGAGCTAAAAAGCTTCTCCTTCAATCTTGGAAGCTCCATTGGAATTACTGACTCTGAAACCTACTGCATTTATAAAGCTGTTAAGTACCTAAAGAAAAGCTGTCAATTTGCAAGATATGTTGGAAAACCGGTATGGGTTCGATGAGTAAGGCGGCTCAAAGAATATGGGCGCGATTTTATGAATAGAATAATATGATATGAATCGGGAGAATATGTGATAAACTGTGGAGAAATAAAAGATGGTCTGAATAAATTGAATTGATTTAGATTATTTGTCTTAGTGATTCTTAGACAGCTTATATACATGTAATCTTGATAGACCAAATCCAGACTAGATACCATCCATCACTCGTCCCATACTCTAACAATGACAATGAAACGCACGACAGTATACAATATGAGTATGGGGTCAGGGTCGGTGGATGAAAGCCTACACGTGTATCAGACCATACCATGCACTAGTCGAGTCTCAAGCATCAAACATGCTCAGTAAGAGAGATATCAATCGTCTAGGTCATGAGTCATGTGTGAGAATCTTAGTTGTTCCAGTCATGGGAAACTTCAGACACATAGAGTCTGAATTTCCAACAAGATATCAAATTTTTAGTGACAGCCAAGCGATTCTTCAGAGAATACAGGGGAAGATAAAGTACCTTTCACACCAAATTCGAAGTCTGGCCAAAGGCAGCAGTCTGAGCATTACCTGGTGTCCAGCTCATGTGAGGATTGAGGGTAGTGAACTTGTTGACTCACTTGTAAGAGGAGCAGGAAAGAAGAAAGCTTCAAGATATGACAAATTTACATCCCATTGTTTTCTGAAGCAGAAAGTATTATGATATGAGGTTACCTAGAGTACTAATACTGACTCTGACACTTGTATGTATACCGAGAATTCTGTCTGTTATTTAGGTATGTAAATAATAGATAGTAAAATACTTGAATAAAACTACTCTCTACAATATGGATATGGAAGAATAATGTGTGGGAAAAGGATGGATATACTTTTACTATATGTGCGATAGACGACACCAAATTAGAACCCATGACCCTTGCCAATCCTTAGCACACTCTTCTCCACCAATCGGGGTTAAGCTACTCCTAGATCATAACAGAAGGCAACTGAATACGTTTTAAATGATTGGCATAATGATTGGCTAATAGAAGTTCTCCGAGAAGAGGAGGGTAGAAGGTGTGGGGGACTTGGCAAGTTTTACAGAATCCAAGCCCAGATGCATATACCCACCTTTCTTTACAACCATTTAACTTTCAAAACCACAGTAGGATTGTTGAGTCAGCATTTTTCCAGACTAGAACTGGAATTGAAAACACTAGGGCTTACCTGAATATAATTGGAAAAGCTAGAGGCAATATTTGCAAGTTTTGTAAGGCTAAAAAGCAGACCATCAAGCATTTACTCCTTCACAGTGGCAGATTCTGTGAACAGAGAGAATTAGAATTTGCCGAAATAAAACTGTCGGTAAAAGGATCATATTTGGGCAGTATGAATTGTTCTATCTTATTGCGGTATTCAGGTTGTCGTTAGGACACTGACAGGGATCTGACTTAGCTCATTAGCGAGGCGCTTGGAGTAGAGGAAGAAAGGGAAGATGGAGAGGAGGAAGGAGAGACAACGTTATATGTATTTCGAGATACCAGTTAATTTAAATTACTCACCGACTTCGTGACGGACAGCTGACTTCGTGACGGCTCGCAATTTGTATTACTTCGTGTCTTACCAACAAAAAGGGGGAAGAAAGCCCTACTAGAATTTTTGAAAACTACCAATTGTATGTCAGCATACAAAGGAGACTAAATAGGTACATAAACATTGGGCATGTAATAGTGCGGAAAAAAGAGTTAGGGCGTGAAATGGTGACATCTTCATTGTAAATAGATAGAAACTCAATTGTCATAGCTACATAGCTGAATACAATATGATCCAAAAAAAAAGTGTACACTAGCCGAGGCATAGATACTCCACCACGTCAAATCTTCACTTCCAGAGAGTCCGACTCATACCTAAGCCTCATCAAGTCTACAAGTACGACCAAGTACATCCTCATCCCTATGACAACACCTCTCCTCGACTTTCTCTGGCCTTAGCTGGTTGCCAGATACACGCCCACGCCGATATTTACACCCGACGGAGGAAGCAAAGCGTGACGCACAAATCTGGAAGACAATTCCTTGGGATGGATGCGAAAGGGATCAGGACAAGTTTACAAGATGATGCAAAGGATGGATAAGTCTCGACGGGCTTGGAAGTTTGAGTTTTGGAAAAGAGTTTTTACAAATTGAGCTTTGTGCGTGCCAAGTCTTCGGCTGCGAGAATGCAGGCAACACTATAAAAACTGCCATGGTTTGATGGTGCGGTGGTCAATCGTCTTGGCCGGTCTGCTAAGTAGAGTCTGGATAGCTTGGACACATATCCCACTTGAGACAGTAGATCGCTGGTTCAAATCCAGCAAAACACAACCACTTTTCTCGCGGCGCTGGTATGTATGGATGACGAAGGCATGCTTGGATAACCAAAGGTTTCGAAATTCTCTTTGGTGGGTACTCACGGAGGAGGGTCGACTGTTTGTGTGAGCGAACATACCTCATAGTGGTATTTGCAAATGAAATCCAGAGTATGGGTGTCTAACGTCAAAAGAGTCATCCCACATGTATACATAGCACCGATCATGTGACATAGCTAGATAGCTGAATACACATTAAATGATTAAAAAAAGATCCTCCCGGCCTGTGGGCAGATAGGACCTACATGCCCTTACATAGTTTAAGACTTTATATGACAATAAACATAGACATACAGCTATCTAGCTATGACACAACATCGGGGGAGAATTATAGAAAAGATAGTTCACTATACAAAAAAAGCACACATGCCTCGGATTTTATTTGCAGGTACAAATGCGAATGAATGAATAATTATTCGTGACGGGTACAAGCCCTGCACCCATAGAGCTTGACACGGAGAAGGCTAGTTCTTTCCCGACGACCATAAACGACGATAAATCAGTTTGACATTTGGACCACTCATGTAGTTGGTGCATTCGCTGATAATACTCCAGACCTTGGTGCTAGGGACTTTCACCCTTTCCCCAACTGTTAATATCCACCAAAGGGGAATCAGGAAAAACCTTTGGCTACCCTAACATGTCTTTGTCGTCTTGTATATAGCTACAGTGCGAGATATGGCTCCATAGTCCTTTTTTTCGAATTAGATAGGCGTCCAGGCTACCCAGACTTTAATTCGAGGAGTTGACGACCAGGAGGCGGATTAAAGCGCCTTCCATCGTTGCCTGTTTTTAAAATGTCAGTTGCACTATCCGAAATCGTTGCTTCTGCGCCCACAGACACTCGTAGGTCGAAAACACTCAAAAAATGTGCGTCCCAGCATGCCAATTTGTGACCTCCTCACTCGTTCGTCCCACGTCTGAGCTGCCTGTCCTCCCTCAAGATGTGAAGCCTCACTATAGCAACGGTCCCCCATAGACAAAGACCTGAGCTTTGTAGATTATGACTTAATTTCCTCCTCGCGGGTATACATAGCATCGTAAGTGTGTAGTGGGAGATGGCCGATTTTTGATGAGGCAAACGTCCGATTGCAATTGGAGTGACGCCATTATCAGTATTCGAGGCGAGATGATGTAGTAAGATTGAGGTGGAGGACTCGCGTGAGAATGATAGGTCCGAATTTGACGAGAAGTCTTCGATTTTAGATGTGCTTGTGAGTGCTTTCGACTTCGATTTGGATGCGATTCTTCTTGGCTATCCCAGATATGCAGAGCTTACTGAGCGATTATACCGGCACCGCTGGAAGGTGATGAATTCGTCTTTGCCGGCGGTATTACTGCAAAGTTGTGGTGGCTTTTACTTCACCCCAATCAACCATCATGCGTTGTGATAGAACCAAGTTGGCTGTGATGAAACTAGACGTATCGAACTGTAAAGACTAAAGGAAACTACCACTACCATAGAGGGTTAGTTATAATCCTTTCTAATCCATCCCTTCCTTCACTATCAGATAGTCCTATAACCCGACGTCATTTCATTCTAACTCATACGTTACGTCATTCCCATGATTTAGAAATGATGTAACCACCTTCGATCTTGCTTAGGTGCCCGCCTGAGCCAAAGCACGGTCAACCCGTAACGTCTGTGTATACCCACCCAGGGGAACGTCTCAAAGCCCCCGAGCTACCCATATATGCCTCCATTTTCCCCTGAATTTTCTCCGCGCAAAATATAGTTCAAGTTTAAATGGGATTTGGTAGTCGTAAAGAGATAGAGAAGATAGTTACGAATCGTCGAGAACGAGTGAACCCCCATAAAAACTTCGGGTCTTACCAACACAATCAGTAACGATCTAGCACATTGGGTCCCTCTCTAAATTAATCCGCACTTTGTACGGTGGTCTTATCATCTTTCGTTGATTGAAGGATCATTGATACATTGCTCGTGATGAATAGCCATTCAGCTTGGTATTTACCTATGGAAATCAGCCACCTTTTTTATGGTACCTTCTTCCCAAACTAAAAGTTAATGGTAGTCATGGTGTTGGTAAAACACGAAGTAATACAACTTGTATACCGTAATGAAGTGGGTGAGTTAAGTAAATCAACGGTTATCTCGAAATGCATATATAGTTGTCTCTTCCTATCGATTTCTATTCCCTTTCCTGCTCTTCTAAAAATGTCTCGCTAATGGAGCCAGGTCAGATTTCATGTGTTACGGTTTGACCGTTGTTTTAGCTTAGGAGGAAACCTAAGCGTTTAATTAGGAATAATTACGATAAGACTGAAAGAGGAAGGATGGGCAAATAGAGATGAAATAGCACTACTAGCCAGGAGGTCGAAGCAACATCATAGCGTAAAATCTCCTGATAATACTTGGCTCAGTAGCAAGTATTAGGCCTAGGGGGAAGTTATCAGTCAGCAGATTCACGAAGCGGACCAAACGTTATAAGTACCTGTTAGTAGTAGCTAGAGAATTCTTTCCTCTTCATATAGTTTAATAAATCGATTTATTCATTACCAACTCGGTTTCCGTCACATCATGGTCCTGACGACTTCCTGAACACCGCAAGTATAAAGACCAATTCATGGCACCTAAGCATGGTCCATTTCCCAACGAATGGAAGCCGCGTGCGCGGGTAAAATCCTTAGAATACTCGTAGGCCCAGAGAGGAAAGGCTTATATTCTGGAGCCAGACAAAGTTTCTACATCCATCTTGTCGAGGGCTAAGAATAGCTACCAAAGAATTTGGACAAGGAAATGTCTCGGATCAAAATTAGGGACTATCCATACGTACGTGGGTTATTTGCTTCGGTCAGTGCTTGTATTCTGTATTTAGAACCGCAGGTTATTCTGTTCCTAGCGCATGTCTATATTTAGAGATCAAGTCAATCATGATCATTGTATGTAGTCCTGGAATTCCGGGAGACATAGGATTTAAGTTGTTTTTTCTGGGTCATCTTTTACTTTGATTACATGCACTTCGCCTGTCACAGGTCAAGCTTCCAGTTACCTGACACATCTAAATCTCTCCTGTTCGCGACAAAAGAGGTCAATTCGATCCAGTTACCCGGCGTTTCAATAACTGGGTACTCTCAAGTTGATCATTTGATTGCTACCCTGTGAGCAAGGAAAAAATGCGTAGCTGGTAGGACTTCATAAAAAATTAATCCTGAGATGTTAGCTTCCTGTTGATGGGGCAAGTAGGCTGTGCTTGTAGATAAAGAATACATTAAGCGCTATAGCCTTTAAAACCCCTCACCGAAAAGATGAAGGTATGACATAATCTCGCCTTTAGTGACGGCTAGAACTTTGTGGGTATCACCTCTGATGAATGTAGATTTTCGTCACCCAAAATAGGTTAGTTTTACGGGTTAAGAGGGATTTATAGATATCACGTGTAAGTTTGGGGAAGATATCCGATTATAAATCTGAGAACGCCACGTGGAATCCTTCAGTTATATCATTTCAATCCTCTAAATACCAATTATATTTTCAGGTCTCAGATTTTCCCAGTAGACCTTCTGTCCCGCCAATTGCGTCACTATATTTGGAATTCGATTTCGCTTAGTGAGCTTAATACATCATTATGTCGTTAGTTTCGTGAGTTTTTAAACTTCAAGTTGGATTTCCCGATCTACTTCATGGCCACCGGCATCTGTAAACGAGGAATACATTAGTTAGGTTACTAAAGGATCCTGGAATACATACCATCGATAAGCCGGTAAACGTCTAGTCCATCATGGTCCTGTCCAGCAACTGCAGTCTCGTACGCGAGAAACTTTAGAACTTTGAAGATAGCAGCTGCTAGGACTGCACCAGCGATAGGTCCGAACCAGTAAATCCAGTGGTATGACGTGAAGCTCATTTCGACAACAGCTGGACCAAATGATCGTGCTGGATTTAATGAGCCACCAGAGAACTGTGCAGCTATGGATTTGTTCAGTAATCGTAATTCAACAAAGATTATTATACGCACCTAGGAGGACATCGAGGAAAAGAATGAGACCGATTCCTAGAGGTGCTAGGGGAGTGGTTCGGTGTTTCTCTACAGCGAGCATAAACACTGTCAACACAAGGGTAGCAGTGAGAATCATCTCCAAAAAGAAACCTTGCTTCACAGATGTCGCATTGCCCAAAGCGGTCTGAACATTTAGAGACCCTGGAGTAACAGCTAATACTAGAGCTGCGGCTAATATACCACCCAGTAGCTGAACGGATATGAGAAATAAAGCTCTAGTGACTGGAACAGCTCCTATCAGTGTAAGACCGATAGTGATCTACCTATGTTAATATTTATCTCTGATCTAAGGATAGGGGGCGTACTGCAGGGTTTAGATGGCCTCCACTGACTCGGTAGAATAGCCAGACGTTGACCGCACCACTAACACCAAAGGCTGAAGCAACGAATATTAACTGGAGTAGACTAGGAGCGTCAGAAAGATTGTCAGGTTTGCTGTTGATAATCTGAGCTGCTAGGAATCCATAAAAGAGGAACAAAGTGGTCCCGAGGAACTCGCCGATGGCAGCTATGACATGGTTTCGGAAGTTGTCATCACTCAGTCGACCTTCGTATTTACGAAGCTTCAGTGGAGTAGATTGCCCCAACATGGGTGAAATTCCATCAGTAGGCATGACAGGAGTTGAGGATCTTTGTCAAGATCGTGACGCTTAAAATTTTGTGTGAGTTTGATGGAGAAAATAATGGATTATGTTGATTGTCTGGAGGTATTGGCCTATATAAAGTAATGGCCTGCGCCTCATGTGGTAGCTTGTAAACTCTTTTTAGTGAGTGGGACTGGTCATCTTAACTGCATTATTGTACGCGTATACCTTTTCCCCCTACTCACCCATGCAGGGCCCGCAGAAAATAGGTGGAGGAAAAGAAAGCAAAATAAAAGCTAGGATATGACCGGATTCCCCGGAAAAGCGTTCAAGTCAATACTGACGGCGGGCTTTCAGTTGATCGATATTTGATCACAGATCTCACGTCGCCAAAGCTGCCTATACCGGGCAAATCGACAGACAGGCTTGGTTCCATGAGAATCACATAAAGTTTTGCTAATTTCAGATCAACAATTACCATACAAGCTGCACAGGTCTCGTTCACAAGGCGTAAAAGCGATTGTTTTCCACTATTTTCCAAAGATAAAACCTCATTGCAATGAGCCTGTAGAACCTATGCTGAATACGAGAAAAGCACAAGCATTGCTGATGCGAACAGCTTCGGTATGCGTACATCATGAAGTCATTTTGATGCTAGGTCCGGTTCTCACACCATGACTTGCTCGGCGCTGAAGTCAGCTTTCATCCTATCGGCGGTGCCGCTTTGATCCTCGAGCTGCAGATCAAATTACTCTCGCTTGTTGCCGCTTCACCGACACCAGCACCGTCTGATTTTTTACTGTAATCCTGGTCACAAAGAATGACCCGGATGGCTGGGAGATTCATGGACCATTAGTTAGAGTCGAGAATCCTTGTCGAGACAAGTTACTTCCCTATGAGTGCTGTGCAGAGACGACACACTCGATCGAGCCTAAGATTTTCAAGACAGCTTGGCTGAGAATGATGCGACGCTGTTGTCCACCTTCCATTTGGATGGCGCGTGAGACAGAGAATAGACTTCAATTCAAATATCATAGGAATCTTAGCATTTTACTAGCAAGAATTTGAATAGTACCAAGTATTTATTGTCTGTGCTGGATCGCAGGCGTCCCGAGGTACCAGGTGAGCAGCTGCAGCCGGAAAATGTCGATAGAAACGGGAAAGTGAAGGGATTATCATCCTCCGTTAAAATGATGAATCTTATTTAAGTCTGTGCGGAGGTATCTGCTCCTTGAACATGCACATGCTCTTGCCGTCCCTGTCTGCCAACAAGCTTCATACCGTAACGGTGATCAGAAAAACGGTGCCGCTGATTCAACAACTTTGGCTAGGACCAGAAGAGTGGTGGCGTAGGAAGGAGTAGAACACCCGAGAGATATATGCACCCGACCGATAGGTAAATAAGCCTTGCATATTCCGACACAGGTCATACACTCATACATATCTAATTACAGACTCATGTGAGCCATGGTATACTACATAGTCTTGTCTTCCCTAAAATACGTACCTTGCGTTGGCACATATTTCTATTTAATTTAGGATCGAAAATGAGTGAGTGGAGCTACAGTAAACCATATCATCACTTCCGCGCCGGAAACATGCATAGCGGCGATAGTATGGCAGGAGAAAGTTGAGGGCGTTGAAGATTTCCCTTCATTAACATAAGCCAGCGAAGTGGGATTGCTGATCATTTCTTGTGCGTTGAGCTACTCAGGAATGGAATATGACCGGTGTTACAGAAACAATAAATATTTCTTTTGGTTGGTGTTTATCGTGATACATGAGCTTGTGACCTTCTCGCACGTCGGCTTTATCTCCGACGCAGGCCATATATCGTTCGGTGATTCTAATATCTTTTTATTCAAAAGTAACACCCCTAATATGATGTCCATGGTGGATAGCCATCCAGCTCGGGTTTTATCCATCGGAATCAGCGTCATTTTTTTACTAAACCTGCTCTGTAAACAATTAACTAAAAGAGGTAACGACGGAATTTGCGTGGGTAAGAAAAATCCTCATCACTACTGTAGGCCCAGCCATGAGAGGCCTATCATCTGGAGACAGACAAAGTTTCTACATCCATCTATATCTTCCCCGTCCATAGCAAAAGAGGCCAAATAGATCCAGTTCAACACCGCCATTTTAGAAGCTTAATACTCTTCAGAAAATTAATGGTTGTCCCACTCCATGAGCAAGAGAAAAATTGTGTAGTTGGTAGGGTTTCGATACACCATTAATCCTGAGATGTTAGCCTCATGGAAATGGTGCCAGTGTAATGTGCTAAGGGACAAAGACGATACATGCCGCTAGACTAGATGAGAATCCTCATCTAATTGACATATTGGATGCAATTCTTCCTGCTTTTCCCAGATGTGCATAGCATACTGGGCAATTAACGCGGCACCGCTGGAAAGTGAAGCTTTTATCTTTGCAACCTGACTTTTTCTATTGTCTGCGAAGCTATTAATGTGACGTTTAGCTTACGTATCAGAAATTTCATACCCCGATTGAAACAGTTAGAATTAACATGCAAAATTCCCTTTAAAGACCGGCCTCACGATGAAGATAACTTGGTGATGAGAGTCTATTTACTTTGCTAATTATGTTAGCTGACAAAACCTAAATTCTAAATCTGATTGATCCGATGAAGTTTATTGAGACACTGACATCCGGCGTTGTCAGTAATTTCATTTCGAATAATCCTTGAGATGAAATATTTATCCCAAGTAGAATCATGGTGCAAAATTGATCTCCTTTGAAATGTACGCTATATCCTGATTATATATAATTTTTAAATTTTTTTTTACATATGACTAGAGTTGGCAAGACCCTTTTACGTTTTCTACACCTACAAAGGTAAAGTTCATAGTGTTATAGCTAGTTAGGCTGCATACACTTAATAAATTAAAAAATATTCCAGCATCTAGGTTGAGGTTAAACTTCAATTAATCATGTAACTGTGCTAACTTTAGCAACCAGTCCACACCTTGCTGTGATATTTGATGATAACAATCGGCTTCTGCCGTAGATCTGCGGGCCTGTAGATGTTTATTCTTTCGCCACTTAGACCGAGGCGGCTGTGGCTCATATTATTTCGGCCTAACTATTGATTCAATGCATAACAGGCCACAACTAGGTTTTCGCTTATGACCCTGATACGCCCTGCTTGGCATTTTCTGTGGTTGTCATGAGAGCATCTCGGCAACATGGTAGTTGGTGAGTCATGTGTAGCCTATAAACACTATTCTTGATACTAGAGCTGATTCAAGGGTGATCTGTTTTCCTACTATCGAAATACACAGCCATCACAACGTGGCTGAGTCACTGTGATAACTTGCAAAGAAAGCTTATTTTGAAGCACAATGTCGCCAGATGCGGACTAGTGCTTCTGCTTATTAAATTCAGAACAAATGCCGGTTGGTTGCCTCTGTCGTTAACGAGCAGGCTCTGGTGAGGGCCATACTTCACACCTGTGCACGGTATCCTCTACTAACCTGAGAGTGAACTATTCTCCCGAGCCAAGTTGTGTCAAATTTCGCAATATCAAAGAAATTGGCCCACGAGCCAAAAATTCAAATTACTCCACCATGTCAATCTTTCACTCCCAAAGAGTGCGATTCTCAACTAAGCTTCATCAAGTCTACAAGTACGATATAGTATATCCTCATCCTAATGACCATACCTCTCGTCGACTTTCTCTGGCCTCAGTTGATCACCAAATACACGCCCACGCCGATATTTACACCCGACGGAGGAAGCAAAGCGTGGCGCACAAATATGGGAGACAGTTCTTTGGGATGGACGTGAGAGGGATCAGGACAAGTTTACAAGATGATGCAAAGGAAGGATATAACTTCGAAGAGCGTGAAATCCCGAAATTTTGCAAGTAGTTTTACGAATTGGGCTTTGTGCGCGGCCATACTTCGCTTGCGAGAGTGTAGCTGACACTATAAAAACAAGCAAATGATGGAAGATGCTGTGATCCGCCTCCTGGTGGTGTTCTCTGGTATAGTTTGAGTAGCCTGGGCACTTACTCCACTTGGGAAGGAGACATCTCAGATCACATATCGCGCGGAGAAAAGTTGAAAGATGATGGAGGCATGTCTGGATAACTCAGGGTTTCTGAGATGTTCTCCTGGGTGGGTATTCACGGATGAGGGTTGACTTGGGGTGAAGAAAATGCCGCCATAACTTCACAGTGGTACCTGCAAATGAAATCTGAGGCATGAGTGCTCTTGTAGATTGAGTCATCTATTCTGTACTTTTCTTTTTTATTGCGTCATAGCTAGATAGTTGCATACGCAATTATAATCTGATGCAAAAGAAAAGAACCTGAGAGTGAAATATTCTCCCGGAGCCAAGTTAAGTCAAATTTCGCAATACCAAAGAAGTTGGCTTACAAGCCAATGATTCAAAACAATCCATGTCAAATTTCCCTCTCACTTATCGAATCTTTCCGACGCCTCATCAAGTCTACGAATACGATCATGTATAACCTCATTTCAATGACCAAACCTCTCATCGAATATCCTCAGCGCTTGGTTGTCGCTAAGTATACTGTTGTTTATCATTACACAGGTTACTCTTCGACGACTTAGAAGTTTTATTATTTAGCGTGAATGTTGTCACGGTTCGAGTGTCGATGCGGGAGCTATCAGATATACGAAGGTAGTCTATAATTTTCTCTATGGCTAACTATCAGAGTATTACTTCAACTATTTATACATCTATGAAGAGCTCTAGAATCCTCGTTCTTGACTGATATCTGCTTCTCGTATATTCCAGTCATAGTAGTTCCCATTCTTGCTAACAATTACTAGAATATTCTAGTCACAGCTGAACTGATCTGGAATAAAGCTAGACTACTGTAGAATTATAGAAGCACGTGAATATAATCACGTGCCACACCACAATCGGCTCACAAGCCATTACAAGAAGAGAAAATTGTGGTAGCAGGATACTAAAGTTGATTATGATCAAAAGAAGAGAAAAATACTAACTGCGAAGCTGAAGATCGGAGTAGGCCATTT